TGCCTCAGCAATGGTGGCCCGCCTCTATAATGGTGGATTCTCTCTGTTATGGCGGGTTGCCTCGGCAATAGCAAGCTGCCTCAGCAATGGCAGATGACCTCTGTTGGTGTGGAGTGCCTCGGTAATGGCAGACGCCCCTTCCCCACCAAGCTGCTCTGTCCTGGGTTCAGCTGTGCTTGCCGTGAAACTCTCAACCCCGAGTGTTTCCAATCACTCCTTTTTGTTTGTTTGTTTGTTTTTATGGGGGTGGGACCTGCCGAGTGTTATCACCTGGCTCCCTGCCTCAGAGCCTTTTTTTTTTTAAGTTGAATGGTTGACTCTCTCCCAGGTCGTCCAGTCGCCTGCTGAAAGGGCATCAGGATCTGTGTGAATTTCCGTGCGGTGACCCACTGCACCGGCTGAAACAATGGTGCTGTCTGGGAATCTCCTGGCCCGGCTCTGTTTCAGACCCATTTAATCAGATGAATGGGTGAATCTGCATTCTCAGAGTGCCAATTGCCAGCTTAAAAGGGCAACCAGACCAGTGTGTTTTGTATGGAGAGCTGCTGTGCTGCGGTGCTGGCAAAACAGCCACATCAGCTAAAACAGTGGTGCTGGCCAAAACAGCTGCACTGGCGACCCGTAGGGCTACTCCACCTAGGAATCTCCTGGTCTGTGGGCAATAAAGATCCATCTGGAAATGTGGCGTCCACTCACCCTCTGCACTTACACTGGGAGCTGCAATCCTGAGCTGCTCCTAAAAGGGCCATCTTGGATCTTCTCCCAAAACTCTTTCTTTTTTCTTAATTTCTTTATTGACTAACTGGTCATTCAGGAACATATTGTTTGCTTTCCATGTGTTTGTATAATTTCCAAAATTCCTCTTGCTATTGATTTCTAGTTTTATTCCATCCTGGTCAGAGAAGATGTGTGATATTATTCCAATTTTTTTGAATGTTTTGTGATCTATCATATAGTCTATCCTTGAGAATGGTCCATGTCCTGAGAAAAAAATTTTATTCTGCAGCCATTGGGTAAAATGTTCTCTAAATATCTATTCGGTCAATTTGGTTTATAGTGCAGATTAAGTTTGATGCTTCTTTGTTGATTTTATGTCTGGAAGGTCTATCCAATTCTGCAAGTGGGGTGTTAAAATCTCCAACTGTTAGTGTATTTGGGTCTATCTTTTTCTTAAATCTAATAATATTTGCTTATATATCTGGGTGTTTCAGTCATTGGTGCATATACATATTTACAATTGTCATATTCTTTTGCTGAATTAATTCCTTTATCATTATAGAGAGACCTTCTTTGTGTTCTTTTATTCTTACAGTTTTTGTCCTATATGTATAATTTTTGTCAAATCTATTCTGTCTGATATAAGTACAGATACTCTTGCTCTGCTTTGGTTTCCATTGGTATAGAATATCTTCTTTCATCTTTTTATTTTCTGTTTATGTGTGACTTTATAGGTGAAATGTGTTTTTTTTTTTTTTTTTTTTTTTCCTTTGAGATGGAGTCTCACTCTGTTTCCCAGGCTGGAGTGCAGTGGCATAATCTCAGCTTACTTCAACTTCTTTCTTCCAGGTTCAAACAATTCTGCCTCAGCCTCCCAAGTAGTTCGGGCTACCCTGTGTGTCACCACACGGCTAATTTTTGAAATTTCATAGAGACGGCATTTCACTGTGTTGGCCAGGCTGGTCTCGAATTCCTGACTTTGTGATCCATCCACCTCAGCCTCCCAGAGTTCTGGGATTACAGGTGTGAGCTACCATGACCGGCCTGGTGAAATGTGTTTCTCATAGACAACATATCACTGGGTCTTGTGTTTTTGTTTTTGTTTTTTCCATTCAGCCAGTCTATGTCTTTTGATTGGAGAGTTTAGTCCATTTATATTCAATGTTATTATTGATAAGCAAGGACCTTACTCCAGCCATTTTGTTATCTGTTTTCTGTGTGTGTGTGTGTGTGTGTGTGTGTGCACGTGTGGTCTTCTTTTCCACCTTTTTCTTTCCTGTCTTGCTTTTAGTGAAGATATTTTGTTTCTGGTGGTACGATTTAATTTCTTGTTTGTTTTTTTTAATCTGTTGCATGTTTTTTAATTTGAGGTTACCATGAGTCTTGCAAAGAGTACCTTATAACCCATTATTTTAGGTTGATAAAAATTTAACCCTGTTTACCTAAACAAATAACAAATAAGCAAACAAAAGGAAAACGAATAAATGCTACACACCTTACCTTCATCCATTTTTAACTTTTTAGGTTAAAAAGTTAAACCTAAAAAAACCTTTTTAGGTCTCTATTTATATATTTTTGTACTGTGTATTCTTGAAAACTTGCTATAGTTACTATTTTTGATTGGTTCATCAAAAAGATTGGTTATCTTTCTACTTAAGATCATTGTAGTTTACACACCACAGCTACATTGTTATAATATTCTGGGGGTTTTTTTGTACTTACTGTTACCAGTGAGTTTTGTGCCTTCAGATGATTTTTTTTATTGTTCATTCATGTCCTTCTCTTTCTGATTGAAATACTCTCTTTAGCATTTCTTGCAGGACAGGTCTGATATTGATGAAATCCTCAGCTTTGTTTGTCTGGGAAAGTCTTTATTTCTCCTTTATATTTGAAGAATATTTTCTATTTACTATTCTAGGGTAAAAGTTATTTGCCTTCAGCATTCTAAATATGACATGCCACTCTCTCCTGGCCTGTAAGGTTTCTATTGAAAAGTCTGCTGCCAGATGTATTGGAGCTCCATTGTATTTTATTTGTTTCTTTCTCTTGCTGCTTTTAGGGTCCTTTTTTACTCTCAATCTTTGGGAGTTTGGTTATTAAGTGCCTTGAGATAGTCTTATTTGGGTTAAGTGTGCTTGGCATTCTATAACCTTTTTGTACTTGGATATTGATATCTTTCTCTAGGTTTGGGAATTTCCCTGTTATTATCCCTTTGAATAAACTTCCTACCCAACTCTTAGATTTGCTCTCTTCAGCCTGTTTTCTAGGTCCTGTAGGCTTGCTTCATTGTGTTTATTATTTTTTTGTCTCCTCTGTGTATTTTCAAATAGTCTGTCTTCAAGTTCATCAATACCTTATTCTATTTGATCGATTTGGCTATTAGAAGACTCTGATGTGTTCTTCAGTATGCCAATTGCATTTTTTACCTCCAGAATTTCTGCTTGTTTCTTTATTCTGTTTCCCCAAAACTGCTATTTTGAATTCCCTGTCAGAAAGATCACATATTTTTCTTTCTACAGGACTGGTCCCTGGTGTTTTATTTAGTTGATTAGGTTGTATTTTTCTGGATGGTCTTGATGCTTATGGATGTTCTCTAGTGTCTGGGAATTGAAGAGTTAAATATTTACTGTGGTCTTAGCAGACTGGGCCTGTTTGTACTTGTCATTCTTGGGAAGGCTTTCCAAGTATTCAAATGGTCTTGAGTGTTGTGATCTAAGCCTGCTTTACCGGGGCACCTCATGCCCAGTAATGCTGTGGTTCTTGCAGAATTGTAGAGGTACCACCTTGGTAGACTTAAATAAGATCCAGAGAAATTATCTGGATAATGAGATAGAGACCCTTATTCTCTTCTCTTACTTTCTCCCAAACAAATGAAGTCTCCCTCTTTGTTTTGAGCCTCTTGGAACTGGGGTTGGGATGACACAAGAGCCCCTGTGGCTACCACCGCTGGGACTGTGCTAGGTCAGACTGAATACAGCACAGCACTGGATATCTCCTAGGGCCCACTGTAACCACTACCTGGTTACCACATATGTTTGCTCAAGTCCTTATGTCTCCACAATCAGCAGATGGTGGAGCCAGCCTGGCTTGTGTCTCTCCTTCAGTGTGGCAAGTTCTCTCATGCCTCACGTGGGTCCAGAGGTGCTCTCTGGCAGCTAGGGATTAGAGTCAAAAACCTTAGAAGTCTCTTTGGTATTCTGTTGTACTGGAGTTGAGCTGGTACTCAAACCAAGATATGCAGTCTTTTCCATTCTTCCCTTCCTTTTCCAAAGACAGGAGGGCCTCAGCCCATCACCACCACTGCTGCCACCACCACCACAGGCCCTCAGGGAGTACTACCAGGTTACCACTGATGTTCTCTTAAGTTCCAAGGACTCTTCAGTCAGCTTATGGTGAATGTTGCCTAGCCTAAGACCCAAACTTCAAAAAAGTAGGTTCTTCTCTGGCCCAGGGCAGGTTTAGAAATGCGATCCAAGTGCCAAGGACTGGAACTGAGGACCCTCAGATCCCACTTGGTGCTCTACCTTACTGTGCTGAATTGGTACCTAAGGTGAAAGACAAAGTCTCCTTTACTTTTCTCTCTACTTTTCTGAGGCACAAGGAGTCTCTCCCTGTAACTACCATAGCTGGGAATGTGTTGAGTCTCACCTGAAGCCAGCAAGTCTCAGAGTCTCATCCAAGGCCTACCATATACTACCTGGGTATTGCTGCTGGTTTTTCAGGGACCAAGGTCTCTTTAGTTAGCAGGTTATGAGTCTTGACAGGACAAAGTCCTTCCCTTCAAGGTAGCAAGTTCCCTTCTATCCCAGAGTGTGTCTAGAAATGTTGTCCAGGAGCTAGCACCTGGAAAGGGGGCTCTGCCTGGTGCCCTATCCTACTGTGGCTGAGCTGGTATCCAAGATGCAAGACAAAGTCCTCTTTATTATTCCCTCTCCTCTAACTCAAGCAGAAGGAAGGGATGTCTTTTGGAACTGCAAGCTGTGCAGTCTGGGGTTAAAAGAGGGTTGGTGCAAGCATGTTCTTAGCCACCCTGGCTGGTGTCTCAGTAAGTCACACTCCCCCCAGCCCACTGTCTCTGAGCTCAGTTCAGCACTAGGACTCATGTAGGAATTGCAGTCTTTGTGGCCTATACTTCCTTTTAAGTTTATTTTGAGGCCAAGAACACTCTAGCCCATGGTGGTGAGGTTCGCCAGAACTCAAGTTCTGATCTCTGAGATGGGTGATTCTCCTCTAGCTGGGCTGGTTTAAGTACTGCCTCCATGGATAGGCACAAGCTGAGTTAGCCCAGTTTTGCTTTCTGCTGTGACAGGGCAGCACTGAGTTCAATGCAATGTCTCACAATTACTACTCTCTCCCTCTCCCAAGCACATATTCTCTTCATGTCACATGGCCACTGCGAACAGATGTGAGAGGAGTAAAATTGGCAATTCAAGACTGTCTTTCCTACCTTCTTCAGTGCCTCTTTCAGCAATATAAAGTTAAAACTGTGAGTGCTCAGCTGATTTTTGGTTCCCATGAAGGTGTTTTTTTGGTGTAGATAGTTGTTAAATTTGTGTCCTTGTGGGAGTGAGGGTGGGAATCAGTGAGGCCTTCTATTCAACCATCTTGCTTTGCCCCTCTCACCAGCATTTTTAATCTCTTATATTGTACAATCACTTCCACCATTATACTCAGCTATGGGTATCATCAGATAAGAAATATGACGGATGGAAACTGGGCTGTGGTTTGTGAGTTCAGTAAAATAGAAGGGCATGAAGATAAGTAAGCAAATACAATGATGGAACAAAAGCATCATCTAAGGAAAGGTGGTAAACTGGAAAAAATTCAGGGGTTCAATTAAATGGACATAGGTAAGATTAGATATATTGTGAGTAGAAGGCTCAGCTAGAAGAGTAAGAGGTTGCTGAAAGAAGGCACACTGTTAATGCTAAAGGTACCAGTTGGGGAAAAAAAGCTTTAAATAACATGGTCCAGAATGTGACCCATGTGAATTACGTGTGTGGAATTGTGGATGGAAATCACTGGCACTGAGGAGGTCAAGGAACTCTGAAGCTAGGCTATTTGATTGGTGATCCACAGGGCCAATGGCTATTTCAGGATGGTGGCCATTGAGGGATGAAGTGGAAGATCTCAGGAGAGAGTGAACAGGAGGTTGGAATAAGGCAGTAATGAAGTTGTGGAAGAGAAGAAGAAAACACTTTAGTCATTCATCAAAGTAACTATTTCAAAAATTGAAGTCATCATTTACATGGAATAAATACCGAAACTCATGCATTTTTTGTATAGGAGTCAATTTTTCCTTGAGTGAGAATGGATGAGAGAAAATGTGGAGCTCCTGACATAGTAGCAGAGGAAAGATGGTCACTACCATGATATGTTACGCTGATGCTTCATAAAGGTCAAGACACAATGCTAAAGACTGATTGAAAGGTGTGTCCAGATTTTTTTTTTTTAATAAAGGCTACAATACAGTGGGTTGGGTGTCTGCTAGCAAAACTTGAGAGATTAGAAAATCTTATAGAGATGGATTTTGGGTGTTGCTGAAACAGTTAAAGGACAGAATGCTGCTCTTGCACAACATAAACAAAACATAAACAAACGGTTCCCCCACCCCCAACACACACACACTAGATGCTACAGGCTTAATTCTCACTCTTAAAACCAATCATTACCATGAAAAAAAGACAGATGATTAATTGAACAAATCACTTAAAAGTTCTGAAAGAAAGTTTTCTTTCTAGATGAAAAATGCATGGTTCAGGGCTCATGCCTGTAATCCCAGTACTTTCAGAAGCCAAGGCAGGAAGATCATTTGAACTCAGGAGTTCGAGACCAGCCTGGGCAACATGGTGAGACCCTTTCTCTATAAAAAGAAAAAACCATCAAATCCATGCTGGTACTAATGGGATAAATGATAGAGAAAAGCATACTTGGACATGATGTGTAGAACAATGTAGATCTCTGGAAACTTGCTCTGTTTTGGTAGAACACATTGTCCCTCTGGGGAAATGGGATTTGCCTCTACTTTGACAGTTTGTGACCAATTTGATTTTGCAGATTAGGGTCGTGCAAAGAACTGTTTATGCATTCACAAGACTTATACCGATTAATGAACAGGGAAATTTTCTCAGGCTATACCATTACCAGCCAATTCCAAGAAAGATGATGAGTACTGTATTTTCCTTTTCTATCACCAATCTTTACTATTCTTAGACAAAATCTAAGAAGAAAACAATTCATTTAAAAGAGGACACCTTGAGGATCTAATAAAACAAGGGTTTCTACTTACCCTCCAGCAGTCAAGGTTAAACTGCAAACTATTTGACATCAAAGTTACTAGAATGGTACAAATAAATAATAAATTTATCTTAAATACAAGAGTATGATTTTTTTAAAAGACCACCCCATGATAAACTAAAAGTTATCCATTCATTAATCCACTTACTCAAGAAAGATTTATGTTAAATACCAGAGATATAATGATGAGACTTGTTGAAAAGAAAAAATTCTTTTTTTTTCTTTTTTGCAAAAGTTATTGCAAGTATTAAGTCATAGGTAGGAGGCAAATATGCTTATTGTTTTTCATTTCTTGGGAGAAATTTACGTGTAGTCTTATCTGAATTTACTCTAATAATTACATATTTGTAAACCAAATTCAGTATATAGCCTTGTATTGATACTGTGCTATCAGTGATTAGAAATAAAATGAACAAGGCAGCGACCTGAAAGAAATATTTCTATTGGTTGTTTACTGAAAGGTAGTTAGTTTTCAGCATCTCTTAGGAAAGAATGCAACTTGCTTAATCCAGTCAGAGAGGGAAATTCTATACACAAAATCCGTCAAAGCCATTGTGAGAGGACCTGTTTGCTTGAAGACTGCAGGGTTGTTCTTTGAATAGTCTCCTTCAGGAAGCTGTGCATTTCATTAGTTAAGATTCTATTTTTGAGGGAAGAGTAATCCAGTCGTCTACAGTCTCTAAAATTATGTCTAATTAACCACTGGTAAGCATTAACTAAAAACAAAAATTTGCTTTCAAAGTTCACCCTATTAAAATTGGAATTGAAAATCAACAATGAAAACTCCAAGCTTTCTTAGAGCCATGTTGTATTCTTTGAAAGCACCACAGAATCTGTTCAGAATCTCTGGTGTAGGAATGCTAAGCTTTTTCTCTGGAGGAGAGCACATTCATGAGTGTTGGCTGAGGGCTCACTCAGTCTGGGAGCAGGCCACAGGGTGAAATGGAGATTAGCTCAGCACTCATTCTGCTGGCTCTGTTGGCATTGAAATTTTATTTTCTTTATTCATAGATTCTGTGGGGAAATTGAGGGTAATATTCAGATGAGTTGAATGCCAAGTATTTGAAAACCATGAGAGTTTAACACAATTTCCAAGAGCCTTGATCTTTCTGAGCATTTTGATTGTGCCAGTAATTGTAAATTTCATTTTAGCAGCCTGCACCCAGAGGCTCCACAGAAGAGAATGATTCTTCAGAAAAGCTCTGTTTGTATTACCTCTACTGAATCAGCACGGCTTTGCTGGATTATTTTATTATCTCTCAAATTTCAACTTAAACCCATTGGGTGAATCTTCTACAACTTATAACAAACTTCTGCAATCTAGCAAAAACTTTGAATATGTTGATGCATAATATAGAACCATCTTAGAGGCACTAATTTGAACAGAAAATGTAAGTGTAACACTAAGGGAAACCTATATGAAGATCCTGTGAGCAGTGAGATTTAAAAAAAAAATGTTGAGACAGATTTTTTTAAAAATACTAGTCAGTTGTTGCTATTAGGGCAATTTGGGTTGCAAGTGCAGACATCTAAAACAAATTAGTTTAAGCAAAAAAGCAGTCAATTATGGGTCCAGGAATGACTGGATCCAGGGCCTCAATAATATTGTTAGTGTTCAGTCTCTCTTACACCTTGCTTCGTTCCCCATCTCTGCTCTGCTTTCTTTTATGAACTTCATTCTCAGGCAAGGTATTCTTTTCCTTGTTTTAGAAAGATAGTTTTCAGTAACTTCATGTTTAATTTGACCTAGCTAGTAACCTTGAGGAAAAAGATTGCCTTCTTCACAATGGTTTTAGGAAAAGCCATCCAAAGGAATGACATTGATTGGCCTGGCTGGGCAGGGAATTGAGTCTGCATCTCAGGAAACAAGACTCATATGTCATCATAAATATGTTGGGAGGGCTTCCCAGAAGGCTAAAGTATATGTGGTTAGCAAAAGAACAGGGAAAGATGTCAGGTAAATGTAACAGGTTGCAAGAATTAGAGAAAAGTTCAAGTTATGTCTAGGGTCAAGATTTTATTGCAAGAATATGTGCAGAAATAAGGTAGATTGGAAACAGTCTCAACCATTTTCATGGAGAAATGCAGCATCATTCCTATACAACTGTAGCTCCAGTAGTCTGACTGCAACTCCGGAACTAAACAGCCACTCTAAAAATTTGCCACATCTTCGAGTCTTAGAGTCTGGCATGCCTCCTCCTGTAGTATACAACCATTATGGTGCTTCTATTTCTTCTTTTTTTATAGCTACTAACTCATTTCTGCTCCTCATTTGTTCATAGTTTCTATTTATTGTTCTCTCTTTATGTGTTTGTAATCTACTGTACTACTATTTTTGTTTTATATTATATTGATTTCTGCTTTCAATATATATTTTATCTTCTATTTTCCTTGGAGTCTCTATGGTCTTTCTTCTAGCAATTTTTTAGTTGAATAACATTAATTTTTCATCTTTCTTGCTTTGTAATATAGGCAATTAAGGCTATAAATTGCCCTCTAAGTACTGCATTAACTGTATCCCACAAGTTTTGACATGCAGTGATTTCTGTGTCATTCAGTTCTAAATATTTTATAATTCTCATTAAAATTTGTCTTTATTCTGACTTAAAAACTTAAAAAACATTATTATAAGTGACTTAAAAACATTATTATAAAGGCTTATTATATATAAAGTGCATGATTAAGTGAATAACTCAATGAATTTTACGTATGTATGTACCTGTGTAGCTACTGCCCAGATAAAGATATAAAACATTTCCAGCATCCCAAAGGGCTTTTCTATTCCCCTTTCCCCAAAATACCTCTCCAGAGGTAACCGCTATTGACTAATACCTCTTTTTAAATATCATCCAGATGGAACCATGTGTCCCATTTTGTGACTGACTTCTTTCACTCCTCATTATGTCTGTGAGATTTATTTATATTGTAGTAACAGGTTTTGTCCCCCTTCTCCATTACTGGGAATGAATATACTGATTTGTCCATTCTACTCTCAAGTCATATTTGGATTGCTTCCAGTGTGGTGCTATTGTGAGTAAAAATACTATGAAAGTTCTTATAAATGTCTTTTGCTGGACATTCATATTTATTTCTGTTGGGAATACAGCTAGCAGTAGAGTTTCTGACTGATAGAACAGGCATATGTTTAGCTGTATTAGATACTTCCAAATTGTTTTTCATAGTGGTTTTTACCAACTTACACTCCCACCAGTATATGTGTGAAAGTTAGTCATGCCATGTTCCATCATACTTGATATTGTCAGTTTGGTTTTTTTTCTAAAATTTACTTATTTTGATGTGAAGTGTAGTACCTTAATGTCATTTTATTTTGCATTTACCTGCTGACTATAATTTTGAACTCCTTTTTAATATGCTAATTGTCCATTTGCATATCTTCTTTCATGAAATATTAATTCAAATCTTTTTCTCATTTCTAAATTACATTATTGTCTTTTTATAATTGAGTTATGAGTTTATATATTCTGCACGTGTCTTTTAACAGATACGTATATTGTGAGTTTCTTCTCTCAGTCAGTAGCTGGCCTTTTCGCTTTCTAAATTATCTCTTTTTATTAACAAAAGTTTATTCTTCAATTAAGTATGTTTTTCTCTCTCTCATTGGCAGTGCTTTTAGTGTCCTGTTTAAGAAATGTTTACTCACCTCAAGGCCATGAAGATATACTCTTATGTATTTTTTTAAAGCTTCACTGTTTTCCCTTTACATTTAAGTTTGTGATCCATTTTATACTGATTTTTGTATATAGTATGACAAAAATATCAAGGTTCATTTTCTTTTTCAATTCATGTCATCTGCAAATACTCACAATTTTACTGCTTCCATTCAAACACTATACCTTTTATTTTTTCTCTTGCCATGAATATTTTTGCAGTGTTTTTTAAAATTTCAAAACATAGAGTTTCTAATCTCTTTCTGTTGTTAGTTTCTAATTTTGCTGCACTCTTTTTGGAGAACAAGCTGTATGACATCCATTCTTAGGAATTTATTAAACCTCATTTTATAGTCTTGTACATTATACATTTTTGCAAATGTCACATTTGCTTGATCCCCAGATCCATTCGTTCTACCTGTAGCGAAAGACATGGAGGAAGTTGTTGCTCATTTAAGGGATTTG